CAACTGATTTTTGAACATTAATTTTGTAACCTGCTACCTTGCTGAATTCTTCGATCAGCTCTAGTAGCTTTTTTGTGGATCTTTTAGGGTTTTCTATATATAGTAACATGTCGTCAGCATATAATGACACTTTTACCTCTTCTTTTCCAATTTGGATCCCTTTTATTTCTTTCTCTTGCCTGATTGCTGTGGCTAGGACTTCCAGGACTATATTGAATAGGAGTGGTGATAGTGGGCATCCTTGTCTTGTCCCAGATTTTGGTGGGAAGCTTTTGAGTTTTTCACTGTTGAGAACTATGCTGGCTATAGGTTTGTCATATATAGCTTTTGGGATTTCTAAAACAGTCCTGATTACATATTCTCCTCCTGCTTGTTTTAATCTTGAAATTGCATCATATATTCTAATATATTTCTGTGTAAATTATGTATCTCAGTCTGTTTGCTGCACCCAGAAGAGCTCCAAAATTCTTTATTAAACTATGTGCTCTGATTTGGAGTTTGAAAATGCATTTTGCTTATGTGAGCCTGAAATCTGCTTCTCAATCTCTAGTATTTGCTGAGCCCTTAACGTATGCAGAGCTCTGTCTTAGGGCCACTAGGAAAAGAAAAAGGAGATACAATGGAAGAATTTAAACGCATTTCCTAAGACTGCTTTCAAAGTATTCAGTTTCAAAATATAATAAAAATCATCAATTACTGAAAAAGACATTTAATGACTTTTAAAAAGGGCACATTAAATATTCAATAAATATTTGTTGGGTCCTTATACTACACAAAGCACCTTGCTAAATATGTGGGAATCTGGGAAAAGGACATTCTGGGCAGAGCTGTCCAAGTGCATGATGTGGGAGACACGAAAGTGTGAAATATGGCTGGTACACTTCACAGCCTTTTCATCTTACTGGAGAAAACATGTATACATGCAAAACCCTGAAACAATAGTACAGATATCAAATATCAAAATGCTTTTTCATTCAAACTAGCTAATTAGGCAAGCTTTTTTTTAACTTGTTGAACTAATGATTGACTCTTTAATCTGCAAGCCACATAACCATGATCATAGGTGCAGGCATTCACTGTAGTAAACAATGTCCCTTATACAATGACTCCTACACACCCACACAGTGGAGTACCGAGTTCATAAGAAATAGTCAATGAAAAAGAGATGAATAAGTAAATTCATCTTTGAGTTAGGTTACTAGACACAGTTTGTGTCTCAAGAAATCTACAAGGTTTCTTCTAGGAGGCAATGAAATCTTCTAAGCCAAATTGTTCCTCTCAGCTTCCCAGGAACTCTCAGAACTGTATTGTACATTCAGTTGTAATTATCAGCCCACTACCATGCTGCCTTGTAACAACTACTTCCTCTCCTTTATTCAGGTAGCTTCTACTTTGTTTTTATTTTTAAATTATAGCTAAACTGTCTTATTTTTTAATTGTATAATATTTAGTAAGAAATCTCAAATCGTTCTTGAAGCATATGACATACAAATTTTGAATGAATAAATAAAATGTAAAAGACAAATAATAAGGGTCTATTCCCATAACACCCAGGCTAAGTGTCTGATTATGTGACTTTGAGAAAAGAAAGTAATCAGCTTTGGATGTTTCAAGCACACTCAACAAGACATGGTATCTGATTGTGTATGAGGGATAAAGGAGCTGGATTCCTCTCTTACTCTCACTCAATCTTTCAACAAAACCCATCAGAGCCACCTTCAGACTATCTGGAATCTGGCCATTTCTCAATCCCCAAACTTCTACCATCTTCCTTCAAACACCATCATCTCTTTCCCTAGATTATCACAATAGCTTTTTAACCGACTCCTGCTTCTTTAGTGACCTACTTTCTGGAGTCCATTATCTACATAGCTGCCGAACGGATCCCTATAAAACTGAAGTCAGAGCATGTCACTTCTCTACTCAAAACTCTCCGATAACTACTTTCTCACTCAAGTCCCAAAGTCATTATCATGGCCCACGAAGCCTTATGCAGCCAGGGCCCTCCTGCCAATCTGCCTTTCTGCCTCCATGTCCTACTTTTCTTCACCTCTCCTCACAGCATTTCAGCCACACTAACCTTATTGCTGCTTTTCATATACCAAACACACACATAACCACAGAATCTTGGTACTTAGAATTCTCTTGACTTAAAAATGTTTTTCTCAGCTACCTATATGACCTACTCTCTCACTTTCTTTAAGTCTTTGCTTAGAAGTCCCCCGAAGCCCCCTGATGACCTAAAAATGTAAGCCCCATGCTTGCCACCATATTCACCTTTTCTGCTTTATTTTTCTCCACAATATTTACTTCTATTGTACATCATAAATGGGTAGATAGGTGACAGATAACTAAATAAATAGAGACATCTTTTTTTTTAATTGACTATTTCACACTAGAATATATGTTCCAAGAGGACAGAGATTTTTAGTTCTTCCTGTTCACCCCACTGCCCAGAATGGTGCCTGGACACAACAGGTATTCAAACAATGGGTTGAGTAATTGAAGGCAAGGAATGGAGATGTCATTTGTTGATGGGAAAAAGGAAAGGCTACCAGACTTCTTGAAATGGAATAAATGGAACATTCTGGTAGGGATTTTCAGAAGACCCTAGGAAATTTGGTTCTAGGGAAAGGTCATTCAGAAAGAAGTGAAGTCAGTTCATAATGGAAGTGGCAACAGAGTGCTTGTCCTTCAGAATCTGAAGCTCTGGACCTGGTTAGATGAGAAATAATTATGGTGCAATGAAATACAAATAAAGTAGACAATAATATTGAATTTTGTCAAAATCAGTGTCTCTCTAAACAGTTACAGTAGCTAGTCTGTGTGATTTTGAGAGCAGTTCCAAAAGAGGAATTCTTACAGTTTTAGCAATAGTGAATTTGGGAAGAACTGAGTTAACTGACATGATTCTCTTCCATGTATAAGGTATGTATTGTTTTGCTTATATTAAAAGAAATAGTGCTACTTTTATCAGACCTCATATTTCTTATTCTAGACTTGATTCAAACCGCTTACACCATTCTGCTCTATCACCTCTTGGTTATCATCTTAAGCTTTAAGAATGTCATATACTTTAACCTCATCCAGCTACCTTATTGATGTGAAAGGAAAAATTTTAACCCTAAACTGACATATAACTCCGTTTCACTGTTTTCTTGCACGGGTTTAATAGTACAGACCCACACAAGGAGATGATTTTCTATTCGCTGGTAAGGACTCAGAAAAGCTGAGTTTAGGTCTGGTTCTTCCTCTAATCAAACACTCTGTGACTCAAAACAAGTTATGCTATCATCTCTCCAGATTCATTCCCTCAGTGGAAATTCACATTGAATGCAATGATTTCTATGTTACCCTCCAGTACTGATTTCTGTGATTTCGTAATTCATATTCATTTTCCTAATAAATGTATCTATAGATGAAAAAGAGTAAAACTAACTTGAAATTTAAAGTTGATAGTGGATCTTATACGATGATCTTCTACCAAGCTTTCCCAGATAAAGTAAGTTCATATTCATGGTTAAATTTTCCACAATGTGGTTCTTTACCTGTTGGGATTATTGCAAGGGATCCAATCCACCTGAGGGTCTGGAATGTCTTCCAAGTACGGGTAGATAGATTCCCTGCTGAAGGCAAAGCTGTAAATTGCATCTTCTGGTGTCACAATGATATGGGCACCCTGTTAAAAATGTGGCTTGATCAAAATATTTCTCAAATAAGCAAACAATCAAAGAGAGGAACTGAGTGGCTGAGAAACAAACAGTAGGCTTTTTTTCTTTCAATTCTTTTGTTTTCTGTATTTTTATCATTTATTTTATTGCCCAACCACTTTCATTTTCTAATCCCACAGCCATCATTTCTATGTAACTTTTTCACCCTTGTGTAGCCATTAATATTTTTCCAGGCTGCTAGCAGTCTTGGCACCCACTGCAGTTGTTAACTATAAACCTAGCTGTTCCTCAAATAAACGGCCTCCCTGATCTTTGGCCTACTGTTGTGCCTGAGCATGCCAGGGCTGATTCATCACTCACCCCTCCGCGCCAGCCTTCCCTGCTCCATACCCTGCGAATGTGATTCCTGCTTCTCAGAAGGGGGCTCAGACACCGTTCCCTGAAGGATGCCAGACCAAGGGACACAACCTGAGCTCACCTGGGTGCCTTCCATGGGAACGTCACCCTAGAAGCTGCTGTGTGGCCTTTGAGGAAATAGTTGGACTAAAGGTGAAAAAGAACCTCAGAATTCTTAATAAGCTTTTAAATCTTTGTATGTAGAAGAAAGTATGCTGATAGATATATATCATGTGCATATATCCATGACTTTCATCAGACTTCTTATATCCCTCATCTTTACCTGACCTATGAATAGCTTATTTAAACCATATTCATTCAAACCACACACTTAAACTTAACCCTTCATCCGACTCAAGGACTTACTATGCATTCACATACATGCTTTTGTCTTGCAATGAGAATGAAGTATGAAGAATATAATACATACTGTTAAGTAATTTGCAACTTAAGTTTAATTGTTTTGGTGTGATGAACAAATCTAAAAACCTGCAAACTCTTAAGAACACAGAAGTACTCCCAGGCCGCAAACACTCTAAGAATAACAACCGATCCCTGACCCATGTACCCTCCACCCTCTTCCTGAAGCAGAAAAGAACAACAAAATTGCTGAATTTGCAGAAAGTTCTCAAAGGTCTGTTATCACTTAACAATAACCAAGCCATTCTTTTCTAAACGTCACTCTCACTAATAGCAGAGCATAATAGTGCCCTTGCTCTAATAACTGGAGGGAGGGAGGACTCAGATTGTAAAGCAAGTTCTTGGCCACCCTGACACATATGTCGCCCCACGATGTAATTGACCCTGACAGTGATTATGTCTTGTAAGACCCCACCCCTTCCCTACGTAAAAGCCAGCACACTCCAGACATGGTACCTGCTTTGCTGCCAGTGTGATTGCTCCCTCCAAAAGATCCAGATTTTGGTTCATCAAGTCCAATGCCTCTTCATGGGACACTGGTGTTAGGGTAACATTAGGGAAGATCACTGCATGTTCATAAACGGCTGCAATGAAGGTATCCAGGCAGCTGGCTTTCAAGACCCAGAAAAGCAAAATTGCCACATAATCCAGCGACTGAGATGTAATCATGTTGAACTCCAAAGGTTGGCTGAAAAACAGAGCAAGCCCTGTTACTTATAAAGAGAAAAAAACAATACATCACGTGATTGCCAGAACTTAGTACTTCAAAAATAAATTACAGAAGCTCACTTTAGGAAAGCATTTTGGTTTTACACAATAGACGGAGATATAAACAGAACTCATGTAACAAATGACCTTCCCTTTTGCAGGGGTTTGCAAGGCTCAAGTAAGAAAATGCATGTATGTCGTTTGCTAGGGCTGTCCTAACACAGAACCATACACAGGGTGGCCTAACCAACAGAAATTTAGGAGCTGGCAGTTCAGAGGAAGGTGCCAGCAGATTTGGTTCCTCCTGATGGCTGTGAGGGGGAGATCTGTTCGTGCCTCTCTCCCTCTATCTGGCCATCTTCTCCCTGTGCGTCTTCACGTCATATTCTCCCTTGTGCATGTCTGAATCTGAATTTCCTCTTTCCATAAGGACACTGGTCAATGGATTTAGTGCTCAGCCTGCTTCAGTATGACCTCACCTTAACTAAATACACCTGAAATGACCCTAGTTCCAAATTCGGTTGTATTCTGAAGTACAGGTGGTTAGGACGTAAACAGAAATTTCTGGAATTCTTACCTTTTAAAACTTCAAAATGTAGTGGTATTTATAAATAATTTGAAGAATAAATAACTCTTCAGTTTTGAAATTATGATTACTCTCATCATGAGAATATCTGAGCTTCAGCCTTTGTTCACTTAGTCTCCTCAAAATGGGAAGGCCGGGTCAAATAGAAAAGAATTATTTGTTGTCTCTTTCTAAATCACAAATCACTCCCCAGAAGCGTGATTTCCAACAGCGAGCATGTGTTGTCTAACATTTTCCATGGGTCAGGAGTCCAGGGGCAGCTGAGCAGAAGGCCTCTGGCCCAGGTCTCTTTCACAAGCCCCGTGGTGATGTCAGAGCTTGACTAGGGCAAGAGTCACTTCTAAGCTCCGGGCTCACTCGCAGAACAGACGGCAGGCCTCAGGTGCCCATTGGCTGTTGTCCAATAAGTTTATTGCCATGAAGTCTTCAGGCCTCACTGAGAGGAAACTCCCATTATGGCAACTATTTTCCCTCCAGCCAGAGAGCAAGAGACCCCACCCAAGACAGAAGCTACCGCCTTTTAGTAACGTAATCTGGGAAGTGACATCCTATCACTTTTGTTGTGAATGATTTTATTTATTAAATGCAAGTCAGTGCCCTTGATGGGAGGGGATCCCACAAGGGCATGAATGAGACAGGGAGCATCAGGGATCATCTTTGAGGCTGCAGACCCTCCGAGTGATAGAGAGGGGAGTGTGAAGAATGGGAGGGAGAACAAGAGTAAGAAAGAAGGGGAGAGAAGAGAGGAAAATAATAAAAAAATAGAAAAAGGACTTACGGATTTTGGCAAATTTTGTTTTAACTGTGAATTTGAAAGTAGCTCTTTTGGGCCTTTCCTGTTCACCCATTTCTGTCCCCCTATAACCTTAAAAGAACCTAATTAAAGAAATGAGATCACTGAGCAGTTGAAACTAACTCCTGACTTATGCTCTCCTGAATGCACACCGTACCTTGTCTAACCTGTTGACTTTTTTTTTCCTAGATAGAAAGAAGTAAGAATGAAAAATTAAGCAAAGAATGATTAACTCTCTACTTCCCAACAAGCCCCTTAGCAATCCTGCAAGCAGATTAAGAGAGAGTCAGCCAGTCTGTCCCCCAATGGAGAAGGGTGCAGAACCCAATCTCCTGCCTTGATGATTCATTGAGAGTCTTCCCCTCACCTCCCTTTTTCCCTTTAAAAACTCTCATGACCAGGGAGTGGGATACAGCTCAGTGGTAGAGCACATGCTTAGCATGCATGAGGTCCTGGGTTTAATTCCCAGTACTCCATTTAAAAAAAAAAAATTGTCATGGCTGAGAAGAATCTTTGGAGTTGTTCTCTGGACATGAGTTCACCTTCTCCCCCAGATTGCTGGTTTTTCTGATTAAAGCACCTTTCCTTTCTACACTTACTTCTTGATTATTGACTTTTGAGCAGCAAGCATCTGTACCTGAGTTCAGTAACAAATTAACTTTATTTTTTATATTTATAGAATTAATGTTTATGATTATTCATTTTACTTTCAGATTTCACTTTAAAGGTTGTTTTTGTAGCTCAATTTGCAAGTAGGTATGTCTGATTTTTTTTTAACTTCAGTACTTATAGTAAATTTATTCTGTGGCTGCTGAAGTAACCAAGAGGAAACCCCAGATCTTGCTTGCTGACCCCCTCTGGCCTTTCCATTCCCAGATGGGTGGGGATACACACACTTCACAAAGATGTTGACCTGAAACAAACAGACCATCAGATATTTCTCCAGCAAAGATGGATTTTTTTCAGGATTAGCAAAGAATTGCAATTTGAGATCTACAACCATGGTGAGCCCCTCTGCACAGCAAGGGAAGGAGAAGGCTTTAATAGAGAGAAAAAGGAACTTGGAAAGATTGTAGTAAACATTTGGCTCTGCTCTCGTCACAGGGCATGAGAATTCCCCCTCTGGTCTCCCAAGTCTATTTAATTGAGGTTTCTGTTTATTGTTTTTTACCGGGAGATGTAATCATTACATAGCAATTTATAAAGGAACCTCTGAAATAAAATTTAAAACCGGAACGGGTCACCAAGAGATAAAAAAATTACTTCTTTGATCTTATTAGAATAAAAATATTACATAGAAAGCCCCCACTGAGTTTCCAGTCTGTTATAGAAGAGCTTGGAAGTCATCTCTCCCAACTTCCCAACAGGAAAAAACTGAACTGAGAAGCAGTAATTTTTTTAGATACATCGGAGAACTGAAGTCACGGGACAAATCACTGCCCCCAAAGTTCGCGAGACAGGCTTACCTGTAGCGGAAGCCCACTGTGGGGGCCAGTACTGGTAGGATCACTCCAGTTGTCATTAACAAATTGCTGAAGGCTCAGTGTGAACAAGCTTGAGAGGAAAAAACTGAGGAGTGGAGGAGGTTTTGATACTCAGGGAGCCCTGATACTTTTGTGAGTTTTATTCCAGGATCCCAAATAGGTTCTCTGGGTGAACAATGAAGAAAAAAAACCTTGTGGTTCCGATAGGAAGAAGTGAAGTACCTGCTTTGAAGTATGTCCAGAGCATTCTGTTCTCTTAACCAAAGCCAGCCTTCAACAGAAACAATGTACTAATGTACAGGAGGGAGGCGGGCAGGGCACAACCCCCGTAGGAATGACACAGCAACTGAGGACAGGACATACCGGTTACAACCAGGATGGAAGATTTGACTTCCAGTATACCTGAAGCCTCATGCTACACCCACAGGCACCATGACAGTTCCTAGGCTGACCATAAAAGGTCCAAAAGTGAGTGGGGGCCTGATTCATGGAAATCCCTGCCTCTTCCTCAAGATAATTGGTTGGAATAATCCTCCTATTTGTTAGTATGTGAAATTACCGAGCTCATAAAAACTAACAACTCTGCACCTCGTAGTCACTCTCTCTTTTGCCTTCTGAGATGGCCTTTTCTCTGTCTATGGAGTGTGTATCTACTTTTACTTTAAACTAAATACTCCCGCACCTCTCAGTCTCTCTTCCTCCTGCCTTTTAAGATGGCCCACATTCCACCTATGGAGTGTGTACCTCCTAAGCTGCTCTCCCTTCTGAGTGTGACAGACCACACTCTGCCTATGGCGTGTGTATCTCTCTGAATAAACCTGCTTTCCCTTTACTATGCCTTGCTCTTGAATCTTTTCCTGCATGAAGCAAGAAGTATTCTCCAACAACACCAGAGCCTAAGCTTCCTAGGGGATGGGAAAACCCCATCTCTAGCCCACTTAGCCTGCCTGTCCCAACTAAGGGAGAGAGAAAAAGGCTGAGAAACACTTGTGAAGGGCACAGCCCAGGGGCCCAAGCCCACTACAAGACAGAGATTTAATCATTGGGCTATGTAAGACTTCCCCTCCCCCCACGCTTACTACCACATCAACCTGGCATTTCTGGTCTACTGAGCACATACCAGCAGCGAGAAAGTCTTCAGGTGGACAGTTGCAGTTCATTCGGTAGAATGCCATCCATCAGCTTAAACTGGAGCTGGTGGGACACTGACAGCCTCTCTTATAATGCCTGAGCTGACTCCCCTAATCCCTAATGTTACCCAAAACCTGGGTTTGCCAAAAGACACAATAAAACCAAAGAGCAGGAGAAGGAAGGATTCTTTTACTTGCAACAGGTAAGAAGAAAGTAGGGGATATTTCCCAAAGCAATGTCTCCTCAACAGCAAAACTGGGGAAGTTTTAAGCTAAGGGTGCGATCATATTTATGAAGGGGCTAAATTAAAGGAGAATTCAGTAAAGCACTGGGGCAAAGATTGACAGAGTCCAGGCTCTAGCTGATTGAAGTCATGAGGGTCAGCAAAACTCAATGTCATCCTGTCTTAGGTTCCAGTTGCTCCAGTGGTTAAGTGCTCAAAGAGATTTGGATCCCACAAAACAGCTCAAGAATGCACTTCCAGCAGATCTTTACCTTTGAAACAAAACTTGGAGTCTTTACTACTGACATATTGTCTCCGATGTGATTATCTTCCTGGCCTGGTAATAGCTATTTGTACTTACGTTCTTTTGTTCCCTTAAAACCATTAACTACTGAGATCTGTTGTTCTGCAAGGACAAGTGTTGTGGCTGGGCTTAGATCACAAAATGGCTTAGGACTGAAATGGCTTATCTTATGTTAAGAAAGTTACGTCTGGTTCTTTTCCTCTGGGGATCCCCATCCTCCCTGCCTACAGGTACACAAAAGAAACAATAAATATGGCACTGAAGGAATTAGACTAATTCCTGCCTCAGCACTGCCACTAGCTTGCTGCGGTACATTAGTTAGTTTATTTCCCTTATCAGTTATCTCCTCAGTTGACCCAACTGATCCGGCAGATTTAAGGCAGCTCAACAAAATATTAATCTCAGAGTGGTTTTGAGGATGAGATAAGATGAGCATCTGAGGTCAGCTGGTGAACTCTGAAGAACCATTTAAATAGGTGTGTATATCTGTATGCATACACACATGTGTTTGTACAATATTGTGATTTATAATTAGAAATATGTATTTGGTCTTTGTCCCCTGCAGACCTTTTGAAATCCTTGGCATTTTCTGTGATAAGAGCAATAAAGATCTCCTTTGTTTTGTTACTGAGGTGACTTTTGGAAAGCACCTAAAGATGGCAGCTGGTTGCCAGGAGGACCAAGCACGTAATTAGAAGCGTGAAATTTTCAGTCTCCCCAACCCTTCTCCTCCAAAGAGGGGAGAGGAACTAAAGACTGAGTTCAATCACAAATGGTCAATGATTTAATCCATCATGTCTACGTAATGATGGGTTCAGAGAGCTTTCAGGTTTGCGAACACATGGACATGTTGCAGAGGGGATGCTCCAGGAAGACATTTGAAGCTCAGAGCCTCTTCCCCTACCTCACCCTATGTAGCTTTTCCATCTAGCTGTTTCTGAGTTGTATCTTTGTGTCACAAACTCGTAATCAAGTAAAAAATGTTTCTCTGAGTTCTGTGAGCAGCTCTAGGAAATTCATGGAACCCAAGGAGAAGGTCCTTGAAACCTCGGATCTATAGCCACTTGGTCAGAAGCACAGGTTGAAGGAGAATTAAACGACCACATTTAGGCTAACAGATTGCTTATTCTTATGCTTGCCCTTAAAACAGTCAACTGACCTAACTGACCATTTGCTACTCACAGCTCCAGGCCCATTGTTAAAATAAAGCTATTAACTTTACTGTTTCTGCTTTATTCCAGTAATCGAAAGTAATAACCATACTTGTTTCTGAGTTGTTCTCCAGGGAGAAGGTCACCAAACTGTAACCTTACAAAATAGGCTAAATACAAAGAAGACCACTCCTTGGGCACTTATGAGATAAAGAGCCGGAAAAAGTGACAACCGCTGGCTTCTATAGAATTTGTTGCCTGGAGACAACATGACGCCACTCTTAAGTCTTATGACAAGAAAATGATTCTGTTGATTGTTACTGATGCTTTATTGTTTAAGCTATGTAGAATTTAATCACCCCACCCCATTCCCAAGGTGGGGTCACAGTTTTGAAGGCACTAGCCTGCTGTGAGTCCCCTTTGCCTGGCTAAATAATAAAGCTGTCTCTTTTCTTCTAAGCTCCAAGTCCCTGTCTCTGAGTTTCAATTTGGCTTGTCAGGGAAGGGAGCCAATCTTTTGGCAACAAGGTGATCACCTGGGCTTGCTACCAGAGTCTGATATAGAGAGAGGGCAGTCTTATGGGATCTGACACTATCTTCAGGTAGAATGCCAGAACTGATTTGAATTGTAGGACACCCAGCTGGTGTCAGAGAATTGCTTGGTGGTGTGGGGGAAAAAAAACCCACATCAAAATCAGATGTCAGAATTATAGTTGGTAATCAGAATGTTGCTGAAAAATCAGCTTCTGCACCATGGAAAGCTAATTCATACTTGGAGGCAGAGTTTTAGGAGCAAAGGAAAGAGCAGCTTTGCCCAGCAAAGGGAGTCACAGCAGGGTAATGACTTAACGACTGTGAGCTCATCTTAGGGTTGGGGTCTTGAGGTTTTACAGAAAAACTAGATGGAACAGAAAAGGTGATAACAATCAGGGCATTTTACAGGGTGCTACTTTCCTCTTAACCTCAATGAATCTTCAGGAGGAACTCCGGAGGGTCTGTCCATTCTTCTGAGATTATCAGCCTATTATGTTCTTCCCGGAGCATAGCCTCTGAGTTAAAGTTATTCTCAGTAAAGAATGAATCAGCAAACAGTTTTGCATCAGGGAAGTCAGTTTGTTAGTTTGCTTTAAGAAGTGGGGTCAGAGTCAGAATTGTAGTGTGTGATGAAAGATTAGAAATCTGTCTCAGTATTGCTACTAAGTATGTACACCTGGATATTAATACTTAATGGCTGGAACACTGTGTCAATTTCCTTACTGACATTGATCTGATTGATGAAGTTGTTTACATTATAAGTGATAAGGAAAAGCCGGGCTGGGCTAACAAGATAACTCACAAATCTAAGTGGAACAAGTGCCGGATTACTGATCTGAGTTCTGCTAGGCTGACCTGTAAATCTAAGTTAATAAGTGTCGGTTTGCTGATTCCCTGTTCATGTTTTTTTGGGGTTTTTTTTTTTTTTTTTTTTGCTAGCCAGCTGGATTTTCAAAGAGACATATCTGGCCTTGAAATGTTGGTTTGCTGCCTCCCTGCCTCTACTTTTGTAATACTGATGCTGCTAAAGCTGTTCCATGCCTACTGGCCGAACACTCCAAGCTTGTAATTAACCCTATAAAACCTCATGCACACGTCTTGGAGGTGCTCAGAACTTCAGAGCAGAAGCCCCTCTGAGCCCGCCGGCGTAATAAATCTGAGTACTCCAACCCTCTGAGTGGTGCTTATTTCTTGGCTGGCCTGTCGTTTCCGTAACATAAGAACATATATATTTGCCATAGGACTTAATAAAAAAAATTTTTAATATAGCCTCAAATCATTATTATGTGGCCTGAACTGGCTCTCATGAAAAAAAATTTATTTTGCCTACTAGTGAATTATACTCTGCTGCCTCAGATATACTAGTTGAAGACAGAAAAGTGACTTCACTTTCCAAAGAAAGAATTTAGATGAGGAAGACACAGATGTGAGGACTGAGTCTGGCAGAGATCCTCATTTATAAGTCATGGTAAATAAAATGAGAGTTGAAAAGAGAAGGGTGAGAGACAAAAAAAAAAAGTCAAGGAGATAAAAGGGGGATATTAAGAGCTAAGGGGCAAAACAACTTTCAGAGGGGCACTGATGAGTCATGGTGAATAAGAGCTGAGGACACTCACGAGATTTGGTAATTCTGCAGTTTCCAGTACTAGAGAAGGGGCAGAGGTCGGCTTATGTAAGATACACAAGGTAAGGGGTGGTGAGGGTGCTGGGGCCACCAGGTACTCATGCAACCTCCAGACAACTGTCTAAGAGAGAGAAGACAGAAGCCTAGAAAGAACCAACCTAGGCCATCAGGGAGGAAGAAACCCATATCCTGCACAAACAGAGGAGTCAGGGGCACAGGTACAATCCTAGAATTTAAGTGTCATAGTCCCTGGGGAAAATTCCAAGAATGATGAAAGCAGAGAGACCAAG